CACACACACTCTCCTTCTCCCTCTCTCTCTCCACCCTGCTGCCTGGTGCTTTCACTCCCACTCTGACTGGCTCTAATGCCTGCCTGCTGATTTTGTCTCTCTGTCTCCCTCCCTCTCTTTCTCTCTCTTTCTCCCTCTCCCAGGCACACACGCTCATGGTGGGTGCTGCTCTTCACTGTATCCATGGCAACTGCATGGGCTAAGCAGCTTTCGTCAGCGTTGGCGAGCCGCCAGCATCTGTTCTTCACCTCCTCCCCCATCCTCTTCCTCTACCTTCCCTGTTACAGTACCAATTGACTGTTTGCTCTTTTCTTTTAGCTGCTCATCAGTTTAGAATCCCACAACATTCACTGCTTCCACCCCAAGTGTGTTTGTCAAATAAACAGAGATACGCACTCGCTGATGGATTGTGACAGATTAGAAATGAGATCAGTATTTTTATGTGATCTTCTTCATTGAGGTCACAAGACAGAGTGAAATGGTTACATTTTTAAAGACATGTCTGTGGAACATGGGCCATGAAGTTTGGAATAATTTAACAAGTGTAAGCAGAGTAGTTAATAACATAACTTCACATATGAATACAACACACATCCTTGTTTTGGTCCCGTGATGCTACAGTGCTCCCAGTTTTCAGTTACCACAAGTAAAGAAAAACACACCACACACACATTTAAGATAATAGGATGACAGTTAGATGTGTTGTCATAGCCTGGGGCACTCAAACACATCCATATGGAAGAGGGCTTAAGGCCATATGGCCCATATGTCTGGCCCAAACTGTGTTGTCTGACTTGTATGTGTGTGTGTGTGTGTGTGTGTGTGTGTGTATGTGTGTGTTTAACCATTCATGCAACCAAGAGTGCAATCTTTCATTTAACATTAGCTATACAGTTAGCCCCAAGCAGCAGAGTCTCCATGGGCATGTAGAACAATGAACTGTTCAGTATCTGGAGTGAAAAGCAATGTGCAACTTCAACTTGTTGCCTTGTTGTTCATGCCCTTTTCTTATTATGTTAAAAATAAATAAAACATGATATTAATATAAAATGATTTTGGTGTTGATAATACAAACCATTCTGAAAATGTGCAAAGACAAACTATGGGTTTTACAGAATGCACAATAAGCCTGTTGAGCCAGTTTTTAGAAGTAGCTCTCCAAAGAATGCTATATATATTACCATTGTCTGTGGTGGATGCACCTAGAATTCCCCTGTTTTCTGAGCTGAAAGTGATCCACTCTCTTTTTACAGCCTATTCTTTTTTCCCAACCCCCCATGAATGTCCCTGATACCCCAATCCACTTACAAACCTCCTCTCCCCTCCTTCTTTTCCTTCCCTGCTCCTGTTTTCTCTCCTCCTCCTCCCCCTCCTCCTCAGTTGCTATGGGCACAGGCTCTTCTCTTCCAGCCAACTGCTATCAAACAGTGTCTGCGTTCATTCGCCTGAGGCAGCACACACACGTTTTTCATTCCTTGTGAGGTCTTTACATTGACTTATATTCACTTCCTGGAGATATACCATAACCACTACTTGCCTATCCCTAACCCCTACCCTAGCTTGACCTAAACCTAACATTTACCCTACCTAACCTTAAACCAAGTTGTCACCATAAAATTTGTAAACAGGTTTTGAGCATCACAGTTTCAGTAATATCAAGCATGCATACAGACACGTACACACTTATTTCCACAGAAATACTCACACCCACATCAAGCACATTTTGAGGGTTTCTCCAGTCTGAAGCACTGAAGTACAAAAAATATTGTGTCCACAGTCAGTCAATGGTCAACTCAGTCAACCCAGGTATACACTTAAGCAGAATGTCTAACAGCCATGTTTGCAGGCCAGCTGGCTATTGGAAGGACTTGAAACTGACCCTGAGCAACAGATGGCTGGTGGATTGATGGGTGATGAAAGGGTTCACTTTTCACATGATAAGACAAAAGAATTTCTTAAGAGGGAGATGCACATCATTATATTGTTTAAAGCAGCCCAACATGAGTAAAGCATCATTGCTAATGAACAGTATTTGCATATTCCACAGACCATAATCATAAACCTGGCAGTTTTAATTGGTTGGAATTGGTGAGAAAGCAGCAGTGGCCTACAAGTGTTTTATATTTTGGAGTCAATAAGAAGAAGTAAATATCCCCCCCACTCTCATCTGTCTAACTAGGGTACTCATTTCAGCCCCTTGAGTGAAGCTCAGCACTAAGTGGGACAATTAGAAGACATTTCCTCTGTGACTTTCTGTCTCTCAGTGTTTTCTAATTCTAAGGATTCTGTGTGTGTGTGTGTGTGTGTGTGTGTGTGTGAATGCATAATGTGTGCATCCTTTGCACTACACCTGCATGTAGCTGCTGAGTGTGCTTTAACACTTTATGCCCACTAGCAAAGAACCTCAGAATGCAAAGTGTGATGTTATTTTAAAAGCACGTGGCTGTGTATGTGTGTATAGCAGAAGGATTGCATGAAAGGATGGATAGACGACTGTAAAAACACTGCCTGTTATTGGATAAGATGATAAGATGCTGAATGTGCACACTGTGAATATCAGAGATTTTCCTGATGGTGACAGAGTGAAGATCTTAAAATAGAAAAAAATGTCACTGCCCTCACATAAAAAATAACACCATGATTCATTTGTGCAAGCAACTTATTATGACCCATAGCCAAGATAAGATTAAACCTAATCCATCCCAGATATTACAACAGCACTAGGAGGATGGGGTTACAGGATAATATACTGAGCAAAATTATAAATGTAACACTTTTGTGTTTGCCCCCATTTTTCATGAGCTGAACTCAAAGATCTATGACTTGTTCTATGTACATAAAAGGCCTATTTCTCTCAAATATTGTTCACAAATCTGTCTAAATCTGTTAGTGGGCACTTCTCCTTTGCCCAGATAATCCATCCACCTCACAGGTGTGGCATATCTAGATGCTGATTAGACAGCATGATTATTGCACAGGTGTGCCTTAGGCTGGCTACAATAAAAGGCCACTCTAAAATGTGTAGTTTTATCACACAGCACAATGCCACAGATGTCGCAAGTTTTGAGGGAGCATGCAATTGGCATACTGACCACAGGAATGTCCACCAGAGCTGTTGCCTGTGAATTGAATGTTCATTTCTCTACCATAAGCCGTCTCCAAAGGCATTTCAGAGAATTTGGCAGTACATCCAACTGGCCTCACAACTGCAGACCACGTGTAACCACACCAGCCCAGGACCTCCACATCCAGCATCTTCACCTCCAAGATCATCTGAGACCAGCCACCCGGACAGCTGCTGCAACAATCGGTTTGCATAACCAAAGAATTTCTGCACAAACTGTCAGAAACCGTCTCAGGGAAACTCATCTGCATGCTCATCATCGTTATCGGGGTCTTGACCTGACTGCAGTTCGTCGTGGTAACCGACTTGAGTGGGCAAATACTCACATTCGATGGCGTCTGGCACTTTGGAGAGGTGTTCTCTTCACAGATGAATTCCGGTTTACACTGTACAGGGCAGATGGTAGACAGCGTGTATATTGTAGTGTGGGTGAGCGGTTTGCTGATGTCAACGTTGTGGATCGAGTGGCCCATGGTGGCAGTGGGGTTATGGTACAGGCAGGCATATGCTATGGACAACAAACACAGGTGCATTTTATTGATGGCATTTTGAAT